GACGAGAACCTACGAAATAAAATAAATTCATGTTATTCTGCTAGAATCTTTGTTCTTGCTCTTTTCAAAATTAATTTATAGATTCAGATACCTCATTTATTAGATTTACTTTCCTAATCGATTTTAGATTTAAAGATTTTAAAATATCTTACCATTTCGATTATCTGTTCTACCTAGAATTTAGTATTTTATTCAACAGATCAGAAATGATTATGAGCAGTGTCTGCAAATGACACTTGAAGTTTGTGCTGATGTAGTTTAGAAGAACGACCAAACCATCCAGCTCAGAGAACAAAACCCCAACAAAGAAATGATAACAGACAACTTTTCCAAGTACCTATCCTATGAATTAATAGGTGAAAAAATATATCGGAGAGAAATATTTTTCCATAAAATTGTCAGTTATTATCTTTGTTTAAAATCGATGTTCATAATAAAATTGAAGAATGCTATTAGACAGTCATTATTTGACTTTATTATTTAACATCAGAAACTAATGTCATAAAATCTCTTAATTTGTAAATAGTTTATAAGGACAGGCTATGTGAAATCGAAACCCTGATTGACTGGAATGTACAGATAGTGAACATATGCTCGAAATATTACACAAATTGATGTTGTTAGTATATTATTTTTAAAAAGGGATATGACTCCTCAATTTATTTCGAAATCCCCGTCATATCCCCCCCTGACTTTAAAATTTATGACTTTATCATCCTCCACGAAATAATGTTGGGTCCTCATATTCCTAAGTTACAGTTAGTGTGACTCTATTTAAAATATATTTCCTACATTAAATTTAGAGTCCAGTAGAACTGACTAGATTGTAACGATCAGCGAAACTTGATATGACGTCATTAACGTTTGATTATTCTGAAATATCTTCATCAAATCTCTTGGAAATCTCATTAGTAGATAATGAATCACTAGAATAATCAGCATCTACCAAAATTTCATTGAATTCTTGATCATCACTTGATGCATTCGATGTATTTTCTCACTTTTGTTAGAAATTTGATTAAGAACATGTGAGTTATTGAGATAACTCGTACCTGGTAAAACAATTAGAGAACCCCGATAAATAGATTCCTCATAAAATTTCGCCACAGAATGATGAGCTCCATTTGATGCAACTGTCTTCATTATGCTGCTTGATTCATTTTCTGTTTCTTCGTGGGAGGATACTGCAACAATTTCATGTGCATTTAATACTACATCGTCCTTCTGTGAACTGGACAAGTCAGTGTTTGTACATTGTGTTTCAATGACAATGGGATTTGAACCCACTACAGGGCATGTCTCTGAAATGGACGTTTCTGAGCAACTAAGCGGATCATGAATGACTGCTACTGCTTCGTTTAACCTAATGCTTGTCAAGGATTCATGGAGGCTTTTATCGACACATGCATTCATTCCACAATCATTTTCCAGCTCTGTATGCAGTTTAGAAATTAATTAATTACTTTCTGTCACATCTCCAAAGCATGGATGATTCAGCAGCCATGTTTGTAATTTGTCTTCAAATTCCAACTGATACTTTTTAAAACGCTGTCGTTGTCGCTCAAATAGCAACTGAAGGGAGAGTCATTTTCTGTTTCTGTATGAATCATCACGGTAATGAAAATACTGTATAACAAATTAACAACCAATGTCGTTCAAGGACGCCAACGACAATTCTGTGTGCTGATTATCTTGGTTCATTTTTTTCGCTCCGTCGCTACTGATATGACCTCAATTTTTTCCGAATTCCCCGTCGTATCAAATAGTCTCTTGTTGGCATATGCGCATAATGTGCTGATCGCCTCGATATAGCCTTTAGTCACAAGCTTTTTAAGCAAAGATACAAGTAAAACAACACCAAATGAATTTAAACTTCACCCCATTGCACAAGCAGGTGGCTATCAGGAGTCAGTAGCTAAGTGGATAATGCGATGACGTGTGAAGCGAACGGTACTGGGTTCGAGTCCCAGAGTGAACATCAAATCTGAGATGCAGATACATCCAGCTGACGAGTCTCAAATAGGACGAAACGCGCTTCCTGAATTCCACTACTAGCCACTATCCATGTTTGCTTAAAAAGAATGATTGTATCTATTTAATTTTTTGTTTGTTTGCTTGTATACAACAGTTTATTTAAAACCAATAATGTACTTCTACGAACATTTGAAAATGTTAAGTTAGTTTTTTGTGAGTTGTTTTTGCGAAAAAAAATGTATTTTGTTCAGTTAACAAATAACTATAAATTGATATTTACATATATACCCATAAGATATCAATAATTAAAAAAATAAATTATAGAAAACTATTGTTTATATTAATTAAAATTATTGTTTAAAGATCCCCATCAAATTAAAAGACTAATATTTGAACGAATAATATTCTTTTCGATAAATTCTTTTCAGGTTCTACAATTCATATATCCAAATTAATAATCCGAAATTGGCCAGTTAAAGGTAAGTTGCATCGTTTAAAGCATGTGCAATTGTGATTGTCAAACAAAATAAAATCGTTCATGTTGATACGACTCACATAGAATGTTAACTTGAATCTGCATATATGTTAAGTGAAAATTTAAGATTCATTATCAGAATAAATATATGTACTGAAGAAATATCTTCAACCACTTTTTCTCTGCCGGCCAAACTCAAGGCCGATTGATCAATAGTAATCTTAGCTATTGAATGATCTAATGTGGCTATTGTACTTACGACCTTTCGTTGTCAAATGTAATTCTATCCGTTATCTTTGTTCACAAATCTTTGTATTATTATTAATCTCTTCAATATATGATTGATTCACTTAATCATCCCTCCTTGTTACGTCTTTCACACAATGTAGTCTTCCACCAAACATTTGACCGAATTGTAATTGTACTATTATTTCTGTCACCCTATTCTGATCATGGATCTTATATTTTCATTTAACATATATGCAGATTCAAGTTAACATTCCATGTGAGTCGTATCAACATTAATGATTTTATTCTATTTTGTTTGACAATCATGCAACTTTTCCTTAACTGGCCAATTTTGGATCATTAATTTGGATATATGAATTATAGAATCTGAAGAGAATTTATCGAAAAGATTCTTGTTTGTCCAAATATTATTCTTATAAAATTATTGTCGTTTGGATAAATTTAGAACTACAATCCTTTAATTTAATTATTTTATTACAGCTTCATTTATAAGTCTGTAAACAGGTCAATTTTAATCTATGATAACATAATTTTAAGACGAATGTATGTAAGCCAAAATTCACATTTTATAGTTACCGTTTTGTGTGAATATATATACATATAACACAAGTTCATATAAAGACTAAATAATAATAAAGTTATGAAAATACATTGGTTCACACTGTTTCTTTTTTACATAGTAACTAAACCCTAAAATAAAAAATAGAAAAATTTTATTTTCGAAATCAAAAGAAAAAAACTCACATTTTCAAATAATTTTTTTTTCCTTTTGCATTGGCTTAAAATATTGTTAAATGAAGAAATGAAAATACACTAATCAATTTAACTTCAATCAAATATTTCAAGCAATTATATCACATAAGCAAAGATGGATAGTGGCTAGCAGTGGAATCCAGGACGCGCGTTTCGTCCTGTTTGGGACTCGTCAGCTGGATGTACCTGCATCTCAGAGTTGATGTTCACTCTGGGACTCGAACTCAGTACCGTTCGCTTCAAACGCCATCGCGTTATCCACTTAGCTACTGACTCCTGATAGCCACTTGCTTGTGCAATGTGTTGAAGTTGAATTCACTTGATATTGTTTTACCTGAATCTTCCCATTGATGTTTTTGGACTGAAATTGATCAGTCTCTTATTGGCATATGTGCATACTGTGCGTATGCCTCGATATTGCCTTAATTTACAAGCATTATAAGCAAAGATGGATTCCACTGCTAGCCACTATCCATCTTTGCTTATAATGCTTGTAAATTAAGGCAATATCGAGGCATACGCACAGTATGCACATATGCCAATAAAAGACTGATCAATTTCAGTCCAAAAACATCAATGGGAAGATTCAAGTAAAACAATATCAAGTGAATTATATCACATAGTTCTGATAATCTTCGTTTTCTTATTTTCTTATCGAAATTCAATCAGATAATTAAGAATATTTATATCAATGTGTATTTTGTATTTAAAATTTTAACAAAATAATAATATCATAAAATCAACCAAATTAAATTGTTTCATTATTAAGTTTGTAACTAACTGGTACTTTTATTAGTTGACATGCAATAAATATATAAACTTTATGTATCAGAAATATTGATTTCCTTCTTTTTTTTCTCTCGATGTTATTATTATTCAACAAATTGAAACATGAACTTCACAGACTAGTTGTAAACAATTTATAATCCTTTCTTCACTTTTAATATTCATAGTATTCAATTAAGATGATATATGTGATATCACTTTTCATTTTACCGAAAATTATTTGTCTTTTCTACCGTTTTTGCAACTTGATAGTTAATGTTTTTTTTTTCAAGTAATGTAATTATAGAAATTCTTTATCACTTAAGGCAATCATATTTCGAACACACAAAACAAAAATAATAACTATATATATATATACTTCTATGCTGGTTTTGTTTTTCAATCATGTTTCAGTACCATTTATTTTGGTGTAATAAAGTGATTATAGTTATAAGCTGTTTCTCTGAAGTTCTTAGAATTAAGTTAATTTACACACTTTGATGTATGTTAAATGTAGAAATATCTTGTAAACTGATTACATTCTATTGAAACTTAATTTTATATACATAATGATTCTCTTAGTTTTGATATGTTCACAAACGTATTTAGACTTTTTAATTAAATTTTCATTTATGAAATAGAAAAACATTCTATGGTATTATAGTACATGGCAGTTTTATGTGTGTGTAATGTTTTTTTCGTATGCCATTCTGTTCATATTTTATCTTAGATGAATATTAAATATTGTAATGTAATTAACAGTAATTCATTATTAATTTAATAGTTGAATTCATGAGTCAATTGAGTCTGGAACAACATAGAAAATCTAGAAGTACTGGACGGCCTACAGTGGGACTCCTCAGCAGTGCACATCCACGATCCTGCCTCGAGAGATCCGAACCCAGGACTTATCAGTTTCGCGCTCGAACGATTAAGCATTAGACCACCAAGTCGGCATCCAACAATGTTAATGTTTAACTACAACTAATCCATTGTTATACGAGAATATCAATGTCAATAAAATGCCACTAACAGACAACTGAATTTCTTATTGATAAACTTTTTTGAAAATCATAATACATCTTTATCTCTATGAATTATATATTTATTTATTAGGAATTTTGAGACAATTTATAAATCTGTAATCATAAAAACTTTCTTTAAGCTTAAACTCACTAAATTAGCTATTGCCTTAAGCAGTCATTTTATTTATCTAACTATAACAATTTTTTGATTAGTTTCATATCATCAGTTTACTGTATGTTATCTCATAAACTAGAAATGTTTATTTATCCAAGAAACAAAAACAAACATATTTATATGTTGTAATGGTATGTTTTTTTTTAGATGATTATGTTTAATCATGTTCTAATGTTTATATTTACAAAAATGTGGATATATTTATACTAGAAGATGTATATTACCAATTAAGTATTAAATAGTAAGAAATGTTAAGTGAAATGACAAATTATTAAAACACGTTACAAGTTATGATAACATTTTGATATTGAACCAAATATAATTTAAATGATACCATATTTGTATGTGAATAAACATTTTTCAAGCAGCGTAGAAATACTTCTATTTTTTATCGTATAACTTCAAATATTCAATTAATTGTACAAATCTATGAACTGTCCCTGAAAGTGAAACTACCGATATATTCAAACTTTCCATCAGCTTCTGAAATAAAACAATCAATTTTCATTAAATTCATTAGCTCCAACTCATAAATCACAACACTTCACTAACGCAAATCAAATGAATGAATTTACTGTTTCAATAAAAATGGAAACAACATTTATTTTCCAATTTTTTTTTACTGGAACCTCGGAAAACAAGAATTAGCTTGCTTATTAAATGATTTCAGTTACAATAAATAAGACTCCGAGTTGTTAGACATATTTGAATATTCTGAACAGCAAACGTTTTCTTTGCCAATTTTTCCAATGACTTATAAATCACAACCTTTCCTAATTTATCCAACCTCTTCAAACTAAATAAATTTTCAGCTTTGGATTCGATGGATCAGGTTTTTTTCCTAGAGCATGTTTAAGCCAATATATTTGACTTTTTTCATGTAAGTGTTTGAGTTGCTGGATAAACAAAGTTATCCGTTAACAATACTCTGATGTCACTGATAAATTACTATATTATTTATTTAGTCAGTTAGATAATAACTCCCTTTTATATTATACAGTTGGTTGGTAAACTAAATAAATGTAAGGTACTTCTTCAGAGACAATTCTAAACCCACAATATCCGTTAATCAGCTCGGTTGAAAAACGTGATCATTGAGCAAAAGCATTTAAGCAAACCTGATAGGAATAGCTATATCTCTTAGGACACAATGTAGTTGTGTAGATATGCGATATATAGTGTTTGTATGTGGCCGAAAAACTGATTTTCAGAAGCTTAAATAACTTCTACGCGGAACTCGTATCTATATATTTCTTTCTTTTAGAAAACAAACAAGCAAAAGTCTCATATTAAGTAATAAATAAGGGAATATCTGTAGTAATATACCACTTTGTTATTGCACAGTATGTATTTATGTAAAAACCTGCAACTAATATAAAGATATTAGAGAAATTTGGATTTTTATTATATTAAAACAATCAGCTAAACTTAGTTTCCTATGAGTCTATCGGCAAAGTTGGTTTCATCAGACAAAAGAATATTCTCGGCCAGAAATATAATAGAGATCCAGGAACATCCTGCTGACGAGTCTCGAATAGGACGAAATGTGTGTCTCGAATCCACTTCAAATTTCCATTCATCTCTGCTTATAAAGCTCGCGACTTAAGGTAACATTGAGGCGATTTCTACAGGGTGCACGTCTGCCAATATGATACCGATCAATATCAGTCTTAAACATCAATGGGAAGATTCACACAACCAATATCAAAATGTATTAGGCATGTTGTTGAAGAGGTTGGTAAATCGTGAAATAAATAAAATATATCTGTCGTTTTGAACATTATCTATTCTCACTCTGATAAAATTATTTTGATGAATAAATTAACTGGACACCATACTGTTTTTATGATGATTTATGGTAATAATTTACGAAGTTTGATATCCAGTCTGTAATTAAACAATTATTACTATGCTATCGTGGTTAAATTCAGTCACTGAATCTATTAACCACGTTTCGTCACTATGCTTAATCTGACGTTACTTAGTCGTCTAGAAATAATTTAACACAACGTTTAGAAGAAAAACTTCAAGCTGTTTCTAAAATAATCAAAATATTCTGCCTAAAAACCTTCTGAGATTTGTGGAAGGGGAAGAAGCATTACTACGACCTGTCAAAAATGAGGTTTTATTCGAACTTATTACTATAACGAAAGTATAAAACTAAAACACAAATATAAATTATCGAATTATGACTAAGAAAAAAATAGTGTCGAAATTAGAACTACAACGACGGAAGAAAATGAGTACTGTTTTGATTAAAAAGATATTTCAGCTTAGAGTATTATTCTTTCTAACAAGTGGATCAACTAATGAGTATATTTCAGTTATCCTCCATTGAAAAGCCTTTTGCAAGAATTCTGCAGCTCTGAATAAGTGAACAAAAACGAGAAAACTTTTAACTAGGTCGTAGAAATGAACACTGTTAGGTACGTAGTATGTACATTGCAGGAAATATTTGCTCTTAAGTATTAGAAAGCAAATAAAATGATAAAATCAAAAGTCGTTTACCAGTATTTACATGATTCCTTATGGAATAACTAATTTTTATTCCTGAAAAATAAACTGATTCTTATAAAGTTTTGGAAGCTGTGAGAATAATAAGTATCATTATAGGGTAAAAATTATACCTAGAACTATCTAAAATTTTCCTAACAACTCAAGGCTTATTGTAACGGTATGGACGCTTTAGAAATAATTTAGATAGGTAATTATTGCCATAAAAATTAAGATAGGAACTTAGTTACCGATACTTATTTCATTTGACATAATACAATGCTTCCTCATTTTCGTTGGTATTTCAATCGCGATCGCTTTGTGATGTATATAATCTACAATATTGGTCCACTAAGTAAAAACGCCAATAAATTAGAACAAATTGATCTTTATTTTCATCAAGTACTTTTCAGGTTTTATAACGTTAACATAATAATTTTTAGTTACTATAAAGTTCAAATATGAATCATTATGTTGATTTCAAATACAAGTATTCAAATAAGGATTTTGAATCAATAAATAATAATACATGAATGTATATAATCTAATATTACTTTTTTTACTTACTCCTGTTACTCCTCATCAAGGAGCATAGGTCGCCCACCAGCGCTATCCATTCAACCCTGTCCTACACAATCCTTTCCAGTTGCTATTGATCCTTTTCATGTCTGCTTCCAATTCTCGATGCAGCGTGTTCTTTGGTCTTCCTCATTTCCGTTTCCAATCAGAATTTCAAGTTAGGGCTTGCCTCGTCATGGAGTTTAAGGATTTCCTCAATATGTGTTCTATCCACTTTTCTTAGTTTCCTCTTCAGTTGGAAGCTAGTTTGTTCCTCCCACAGAAAAATGTTGCTGATGTTATCCGGCCAACGGATATTGAGTATCATGCGTAGACAATTATTTATAAATACTTGTACTTTTCTGATGATTGCTGTCATAGTTCTCTACGTTTCAGCTTCGTACAGCATGGCCGTCTTGATGTTCGTAATGAAGATTCTGAGTTTGATATTGGTTGACAGTTGCTTTGAGTTCCATGTGTTCTTCAATTTTTGGAATGCGGCCCATGTAATCTAATGTACGAAGATAATATACTTGAGGATATAGGGAGAAATGTAATCAGACCATATTAGACATAACACACAATCGCGTATTTCTTTTGTGAAAAAAATTTTTTTAGTGTCACCAAGTATTTTGTAGAAACAATATTTATTGAATAAGCTCAAGTATTTGTATTTAAAAATGATTTTCACCAGTAATTGATATTATCTGGAGATCTATTGATAACAGGAAAGAACTAGTTTGGGACTATTTAGCTGTTTTTAGTGTAGTGACTATGTCAATTGAAACAAAAGGTTATCGTAGTTCTTGCATTGTTCAGCTTACATTATTTCATCATTCAGCTTACACAGTATGGAATGGATAAATTTTGCACAATTGTTAGCTAGTTTAATAACAATTGTTTTCAGTACTCAAGTTGTTATTGGCTACAAGATCCTTATATAAGATAATTAATTTTTAGTAGCCCGAGTCTATAATTTAGTCTACAGACTTTTATAATACACTGGCTAATTAGTTCACCTACACTAACTAAGACATTAGAAAAGGCAACCATGTTCGAATAAAGATGTATATTTATTTTCCTTTATATAAAACTGAACTGCATTTCTAATTTACTTGACATAAAAATACAACAAAATTTTGAAGCATTACACACTTTTAACATGCATCTATATGCACTTTTTAGAGATAAATTAAAGTGTTAATCACACCGTCAAAAAAGCATTTTATCAGTACAAAAGTGACTAAGTTGTTCCATGATGTAACATAAAATCATGCAGAATTTACAATGAATTCAATTGTATTGATCACTAATATAAATCTTCATTACAATATAACCAACCAACTAATTTAGTCTTTTGACATAACTTACATCTATCAATAGCCTTGGTTAATATGTCGATTAATTTTTATAAACAAAATTTTGTATGAATAGTCAATCAAAACTCTAACTTAATTATGCAAGTGTTTTGTAAGATTTTTGTAATCGTATAATATGCTAATTGATACATATGCAACAACGAACAAATATGCATCTGAAATAATTAAAAAGTATAATAATGTAAATCGGAGAGATGTGTTTCAGCTTGATTAGTTTGAAACTATGATGTATACGATTGGAGTTAAGTCTTAAGACTAAATTAAAACGAGAAACATTTGATAAGAATGTAAAAACATGTTTGTTTTTTCTTTAAAACAAACATCGAAACTAAAATGATCTGTTTAAATAGTATAGCAGATTGACAAAACAAATTTTCATTATTTACAAGGAAGTTAATGATAAACCAATTCTCCTTAGTCTAAAGAATTGTAACAAGGAAAAGGTGTAAACTAATGAGTTACTATCAGGATTACAAGCAACATAAAGATCAATTTATGTACATTAGAAATATGTTATTTATGTATTCCCTAAGCTTGTTGTCATTTGTAAATTCAATTACTTGATATGACAGGATGAAAGGTCAAAATTAGATTGATTTACTCATTATGGTATTTTATTCAACATTACTTCTATTTTAATTCGATACGTTGATTATTCAATGTAGTATTTGCTTTGTTTTCCTGGATGATATTTTTTTCTGTATAACATACGATATT